AGGTCTTTCTCTTGGTCGAATCCGTGGCAAATCAGGGGGGTGGGGGTATGCCCGTCCAAAAAAATCCGTCGGGCCAACTTTCGGGAGCCATAACGGGAAGAGTTAGCCTCAAATAGAAAATATTGTATTCGGAATTTGGGTAAATGACGCATCGGGTTAACCTACAACACAGTTTATACGCTCTAATTTTGCCACCGCATACATACATACACCCTGATACACATGCTCAGGAGTACTTGGAAAATGTCAATAAGTTAGTCCGATGTGCTGACTCCCCAACGAATCCGTCTCTATGGAAGAAAAGAGTCTACGATAGGTTAGCAACGAATCGGTAGCGTCAGCGAAAGTTAAAGTTCTGTTTTACACGATTTCCCGAGCAGCACACAGACAGTGATATCTCCCCCGTGGGTAACAGGGTCAACAAGACAGTTTGGTAGCCGTCTTGTGTATCTATTTGTAGGTTATGCTGGGAAGGTGTAGAGGGAAGCTGTTGGGTAGTTGGTTCGTCCGGTGTATGACTATGATGGGCACCCTAACGGAATGGTGTGCATTTGATATAATAGCCGGACATGTCAGGTTTGTGTGAAGCAAAGTACGATCGTTGTTTCAATGTGTAGGAGGGCACGGGAGGGCATTTTTACTCCTACCGTGTTGTTCGGACGTGGTTGTTCTGACGTGGTTGTGCAGCAGTATAGCCCAGTCATCATATCTATCTATGGATCGGATGTCTTGGTATGGGTATATTGTGAGTTTATGTAAGTCATAGAGGACGTATAGTCTAGAGGTATCCCGTGTTTGTTGTTTGATGTGGTGAGCCATAGTTTGTACTTGTGTCGTTAGCAGAAAATAAATGTGGTGGTGAGTTCAACAGCAGCATAAGTCAAAACAATGCCGGTCATGCATTATGTTGCGCACCCGGTGTCATCTCCACGACCGGTGCCATCTCACCGACCGGTGCCATCTCTCCGACGATCACGGTACCTGCGGACCGCACGCGGGCGCTGAAATGAAAGGGTGCTACATATGTAACGACTAACGCAAATGGTCGACGGGAATTTCCAGAGGAAACTACCGTGGATATACTACGCCTCCAGAGTTAGCCCGGCGGATATATATATATCTAGAACGCTTCCATTCGAAACTCCTGGTTGCTACAGTGGGTTAACGTGCAGTACTGCCGAAATCTTCCATATTCCGACAAAGTGCAGCCAGACACACACGCCCGATAGGTTGCAAACGCGCACACACCCACACGCTCGCACCTCCCCTCACCATCCCTCTGGATCTCGGCAACAGCAACAAGATTCAATTCTGAAGAAATCCTACTTTTTCAGGTATAGGATGGCCTCGACACGCTGATGAAAGGCGAGCATGCTGCCGAGCTTACAGCGGTAAACTATGTAGACCACTATTGTGTAGCGTTGAGGTTCGTGGCTTTTCTAGCGCAGGTATTATTTTCTGTTACATACGGCAGATGTTTTCAATGGGCTTGGACGGAGTATACAATACATGGATCGACCGTACTACTACTCCCGCTGGGCCATTGCCGACGATGATGATCGGCGTTGCCACTTAGCTGTGAAAGGGAACGAACGAGTGTGTCCACATGATCGGTTCGCGTGCAACTGTCGCTCAAGTAATTCTCATCGACTCATGCCAAGGCGGCATGCAGGAGAACGACCAAATGAGTATTTTGCGTTGAGTCGGTGATGGGCACAAATTCACGTACCACATCTATCTTTTGTAGTTTGAAGTACTTCTGATCACCCCACATAGAGTAACAGCAGTACCAGCACAAAGAACAACACAGACAAATAGATCCCGCAACCCACTCCTTCAAGCGTGTCGCTCCAAGTGAGTGAGTAACTGTTCCCTTGTTTTTTATTTTTCTTAATATGACACAACGAATCCGTCTCTATCATAGTCAGAGACAGATTATTAGCAATGAAGTCATAGCGCCAGAAGAAGCTATCTGTATGTCTACGATTTCCCAGACACATCTCCCCTGCGGGTAGCAGGCTTAACAAAACAGTTTGGTAGCTGTCTTCTGTGTCTCATGTATGTTATGTTGGGAAGGTGCAGCAGAAAGGTTTCGTGTGTGGCACCCTGTTAGTCGTAGGGCATGCAATCTCCCTCAGTCTACAAACGTATTTGCGGTGTGGTACGCATATTTACAGAGTACATGTATGTATATGTGCGGACACATTTCGGAGTATGTGCGGACACACGGGGGGGGTGGTGTCACCATTTTCTTACCGTTTTGTGTAATTTCATGTCGTTCAATGTGCAAAGGGCACGCACGGGAGAACATTATTTTATGATTACCTCCTGACGTGGTCGCCGATCGAGGCGTGTGGTTGGGGTTTCATCATCGACATTTTTTTTTTTTAATTGGATTCTGTCTTCTGCCCGTCTGGCTCCTATCCTCCACTTCTACTAGCTAGACGACCCAACCGGGGTCACATAGGAGGGGGGAGTTGGACCCCCTCCTGCGGTTCCTGCCGGAGATATTTTTATCGCGAGAAGGGCACAGAGCAATCCCTTCCCTCGCGACTCAATGACATGAAGTCGATCGAGTTTACTAACAACGAGCTTCGCAGCGTGTCGCTTTCAACTTAGACCAGGATTTATTTAGTGAGAAAAAAACTCACGTTGCCGGGACTCGAACCCATGACCTGGCCTCTAGAGGATGTGGATGATACCAACTAGACCACCGGGGCTACCGGCCTGAGGAGGTTAATTTCGACCATAGGACGTGCGAATGAATATGTGTCCGTCTCCGGTATTCTGTCTTGTCTGTGGTATCTCGCCGTGCCGTTTCTGCCGTCACCGCGCGGAGTATCTGGTAGGCAACTATAGGTAGATGGAGTCGTCATAAATCCGCTAGGTACAATGTAGGTTTTTGTGGTTCTTTGCGGTACTACTGCTGCTGTACAATCATCTCCCTGTATCTCTCCTCTACTTTTCGCAGCTTAGTCATGCCCACTTCCCTCTCCTTCTTGTACAAAGAGCATTCTGCAACTACATGAACAAAGGTCTTCGCACTCCGAGCCGCAATCAATCACAGTTGAACCACTGGTCTTCATCGTCGCCTTCCTATGTCTTCGTCCACGTTTTCGAAGGCCAATGTCCCCGGTTCTGAATTTGACCTTAAGCTCTGTCCCGGCATCCATTGGTCCATGTAGGTACTCCTTAAGCCCTATTCCTTCTTTCGGCATTCCGTACAATTCTAGAACCTCCTTTTACTTGGTTTCTCTGTTCTTCTCTCTCGGCACAAGCAACAGGGGGAGGCTTCCCCCACCCCACCGAGAGGTCCAAAATATAGTTGTGGGTTAGGCGTCGGCATTTGTATTTTGGTTTTTGGGTTTTTCGGTCGCACCTTGGGTCACGTCATGACATTTCCCATGGTGCGTCATGGTACAGTACCCCAAGACAGAGAGCGTCGAATCTCTACTGAGTTGCTGTGGAGTACCGAGAGCGTCTCCAAGCGTCTGACGTCGCATTAGCAGCGTAGGTCTATTCCTCGATTCATCATTCACGATGAGGGTGTTGCGTGTGAACAAGAAAAAAGGTGGACTACAAAAATGTTGGGTCACCTCTGTTGTACAACAGACAATAGACTGCTGTGCCCTCGACAAACGGAGGTGACCAAGATATTACACCCCTGGATCGTGAACATTGTAAGAAAGTTGGTTGTCGTTCCGCGACGGAAGAGGATATCGTATGTATAGATCAAAGCGATAGCTTTTGGGAAAGCCTCCCGACACCATTCCGACACACCCACTCTGCGGTGTACGTCGTCATCGATCGGTATTTCATGGGCCGGGGGGGGGTGATATCTTGTGTCATATACGATACTGACCATCAAATTGGCACGGTTGCACGTTTTGCGGTGGAGATTGGGCCAGGGGGTGTGACATCTTGTGTCGCCTACGGTGTGCACAGAAAACTATATCTACCTACATCCAATATGGACTTTCGGAGTTTGCGGTATTACAGTAAAGCATCTCGTCCGTGGACGTCCATGGACGTTTCCGTAGACCGTCCACGGATGTGGCGGACGCGTCCGTGGACCACCGTCCACGAACTTGTCCACGGACATGTCCGTGGACATTGGACATTCACTGGACGTGTCCACAGGCGTCCACGGACAACGTCCACGGGCGTCTTTCCGGTGTCCATGGACGTCCGTGGACGTCCACGGACACGTCCATAGTAATGTCAAATGATGTAAATCATTGGGTGAGCAAGGCTATGTCCCCAACCGGCGAGATTGCAGTGTTTCCCCAATGACTTGACGCGTTCGAGATCGTGTGGTGGGAATACTTGATGTGCTTGCTCGCAGCCTCAACTGCTGCCCGCTGCTGTGCGCTGTGCGTGCATGCTCCAGACACTCCTGCCGTTGTTTGTGCGTCGGTTCCTTTGTAGGGCAACGTTCAGCTGGTGGGGTATTCAAGACTATGTACCCCACCAGTGGGTGGGGCAGGTTGGGGCAGCACATGAATTTTTCCCATCAGCCATGGCTGCAAACCTGAACCGTTTCGGCTGTGCGATGGGTCTCGCACTAGCCCCACAACACAGCAACACAGTCGTGCATGTCCTTGGTCGATTGGTGCCTTGTGGGCAGAGATGCAGCTGGGGGGTGTTTAGACCCCCCCGGGGGGATATAGACACGCCGAAAACAAATAGATGTATAAAATATCTAGGGTACTGAACGCCCCCCGTGCCCCCAGTGGGCGCGGTGGCCCGACTCGTAAGCGAGAGTAATCTACGACGGTGGAAAGGGAGATAAACACGAAGACGGCGAAGAAGTTGGAAAGCTGGTGAGAATTTGTTCCCGTTCGCGGGCGAGAGTGGAAAGGCGGGCACCGCGAAATGTGTGATGAGAACGCACGGGTAACTGTATGTGAAGGTGATGAAGGCTTGCCCAAAAAGAGATTATATTTGTGGAGATGCCACAATTATTTGCTGTAAGAAGCATCTCGGGATATCCATTGCCCAGACGAAGGCGCAGCCTCAAAAAAGCCCTCTTTCCATATCAGTACACCGCATCATCAACCATTGCCCCGCCTCCACCAATACCTTACACATCACCAGTGTTTGGGCGCACAGCAACGGTGTGTCCCCCATGCCGTATACTCTATCGTTCGCGTCGCACCCGAACTCCAGCAAAACCTTCGCAACCTCCTCAATCCTTACCCAATAGACGCGGCTGCGTCCTGTAAAACGTCCTTCAAAAAGGGCACACCACAAGCACAGCACCACCCCCGCCCTAGCCCCGGCGGCACGCTGTACGCCATGATGCGATACTTTTACTATTTTGTTTTGTTTTTCTGCGGTATTTTCGACCGTTTCTTGTTCTTCGTAGTATGTATTTGTTACCATGGTCTTTCTCGGGGGGTCTCCCACACATTCTACGGTTTTGCCAAACGAGCCATGGGACACCCATGGGTCACCCACGGCTCCGTATAGGCTGCCCGTGTCCATGCCCGTAGGTAGCCCACGGGCAACCAATAAGAGCCCTTCAACCAGAACCAGTGCACTCCTAAACAACAGATTTATCTGCTTTGGAACGGGCCATACAGCCGCTAACAACCTAACCCTAGCCCGAACCCCAAGCCCACACGATACGTGCTAGGTTGGCGCTGGTGGCTGAGCTCCAGGTTGATCTGCCGGCGGCCACGTTCAAGGTTGAAGTGCCCAGGGTGGGCACTTTCTGGGCCGCCCATGGGCAGTCCATTGACGCCCATACAGGCCCATGGGCGGCCCATAGGTGACCCATGGATATCCCACGGGCGGTTTAGCAACACTGTCGGTGTGGGAGATTGCGCACACCTACTACCCCGAGAGGGCCCAATGAGATAGATGTGGATGGGTCCTACATCTAAAAGTCATCACACAGTGGTCACCATCGCCAATGTACACATGTATGCGGGACTCTCTCTGTAGCATCGCTGGAACGAGTCTGACTGTTGTTCGGTGTGAACGAAACGCTCTCCTGGTGCGGCCGTGTGGACATGCACTCCTGCCTTCCCTCGCTGAAGTGCTGCTATGTAGCAGAAGGCACTTGGTTTCAAAAATCGCTCCCGTTCCCACGTGCGATGCGTTTGGTTGCACTTGGTCTGCAGCAATGTGTACGCATCATTGTCTCTGTTTGGGGCGTAGGCGCATTGACCGAATGTATCCGAAACAACACCCCTGTAAAAAAACACGATTTCCTACGCAATGGACGCAATAGTAGTCTACTGCTGTAGACTGTGGTAGGGTGGACCTCACATCCTTTCAAGACCCTTATTTCGCACGGATGTCATCATCATCGTCTCTACATGCTTGCTCTGCCTATCGAACCGCCGCACCCATCCCATGCATGCTGGCCACCCGCCCGTCCCACTGGGGGCGGGGGGCCAATCGGTACCCCCTACGATGCGAAGTACTATGTAGATATTGAAAAATTGGACATTTGTCAACGGAGCATCATCTCCGGCCAGCCTCCAAGAAATCCCACGCCACGCACAGAGGCTGGAAAATAGGTCGAATATATTCAGGACTATGAATGTTATCGCGAACCAATCGGTCAGTCAGTGTACGTGTTCATAGCAGCATAGGTTGTTCGGCAAACATTTGCCGCGCGGATGATGCCACAGCACCGAAAACACGCATGATCGTTCTCCACCCGCAGGCAGACAGCCACTCACACATGGTATGACGCTACGCTTGTGCAGGTACTCACCGGAGGTTTGCGACGAACGGACTGGTCGAGATGCGGGTCATGCAGTTGGTGCTGCGAGGGTGCCTTGTTCTGGCAGCAGTCGACGTTGGGTCCGCCGCCTGCATCATTATGCCCGACGGGACGATGCACTGTACGACAGGTAAGCACTGTTATTGTTGTGGCGTCGATTGAATGTATAAATAACCACACTGCCGCTGCGGTTGCCAGAGCTACCTTCCCTCGCTCCCATGCGAAAATCGGACGGAGGTATGGCTGCTATGTATGTGGTGGTTGCTGCCTGCCCACTGGTGACAAGATTTATGCAAAGAACACGGAAGAATGTCCATGGGTTCATGTCTCATCAGCGTGTTTGGGAAGTAGGGAAGTAGGAGAACAACTTTAACGACCTACCCTATTAAGGGAAAACGTAAAGCCGATAACTTGTGGCCTTTTCATGTACATCGAACGCAATGTAAAACCTGCGTGGCCTGTATGGGTACTTCACATACCTTCCACCGTGACAACCAACAACGTTCCTCGACGCCTTCCCTGCCCTTGCACGCCGGATTCTACCAACCGGGCCAGTCTGCCCGAATGGGGACAGCGACTGTGGAGACCCGCACATGGCTGGCCTGCGTGGCCAGGAGATCGACTGGTCTGGGGTTGACGGCGGCTGGTACTCCCTTATCAAGGACGACAACGCCGATCTCAACGTCAACGTTCGCGTCACCGCTCCCCTGGCCGATGAGTTCCCCGACCGCCAGCTAATGACCGGCTTCACCGTTCTGTCAGAGGGGCATTCTCTCGTCATCGAGGTCGCCAACCCTTACACCACCGACACGGACGGTTGCCCCGAGGACGTCTTGCCCTGCCTTGCGAACGGAGGACTGCGCATCATTGTCGACGGCCAGGAAATGGACGAGCTCGTTCGATTCTCCAGGGAGATGCCGGTGGCAAACGGTGCAATTACTGTGTCTGCATCAAACCTCCCGGTGGAGTGCCGGCAGTTCGGTGGTCACAAGATATGGGCCCGCATGCACCAGGAAATGCTTGACGGCAGGCGCGAGCTCCTCGGAGGTGAAAGCCTCGAAGAATGGATCCTGAGGTACGACCACAGCATGGCGGCGCCCGAGTGGTGCAACAAGTACATCGCCGAGAACGACCTCGCCGATCTGCAGTCCATCCACGCCATCTTCAAGATCGAGACATCTACTGTCACGGTACGCCTTAACGCTGGCGTCAACTACCAGGGCGACGGCGACGTCGACTGGGATGGACGCGTCCTTCCTGACCTCGAGTTTTGGCAGATGGACGTCGGGCTGCGCGGGCTGGACGTCGACAACCCGGCGCTGTCCGGCCTCCTCGGCGAGACGGCCCGCCCGGTGTACGACGAGAAAGGACAAGCGGAAATGAAAGGATCCAAAGCTTTCCGTGGCAGCGTTGAGGACTACCGCGTATCCGGCGCTCTGGGCGCCCACTTCCCCCTCCTCGACCAGAAGGAAGAGGACCATGAGTAGAATAAAAAAAATATCCTAAAGCGCTATTACCCTCCCTACTGTCTACGCTGTCACCAGAGGGCACATCTGGAAGTAGCACACGAGGTAGACCGAACAGCAAATCCGCACATCTGAAGACATCCCAAACACTCGCCGAGGTCGTCTTTCCGGGTGAGGATGTGCGGTAGGATTTTCCTGCCCACTGTAGAAGAGGTGCTGTGAGGCTGAGGAGTTTTTCAGTGTACCCGCACACTTTCTCCGCATTTGAACCTTGTTGGGTGGTATTCTTCAAGACAAAGAGATGGGTGCGCTAGGCTCCGAGCTGGTTCATGTTTGCTTCAGGTAGAGTGTACGAATAATGGAAGACATCGCAGTTCCTTCCTAAGAGGTTTGGACTGCGACTTTATGATGAGCTTTCGCTGATATGTTGATCTGCTCAATGTTGTTCACAGATGATCAACCGCGTTTTCCCGCGGCGGGATGAATTTTGCCGTGTTCGAGGTCCTTTGGAATGCTGTCGCCACCGACCACCCCGCGGGCCTTGGCTCTGTCTCTGGCGCGGTTGTGATGTGTGCTGGGGGCGCTTTCTCGTTCTCATGTAGGACGCAGAAGAGCGTCTCGCCTTGGTCGTGTGATGTCGCGATGGGGGATGGGCTGAAGGGAGCAAGTTTCTTGCGCTACCTGTAGAGTTTCAGTTTTAGTTGAGCATATCAGGTGTACCGTTATTCGACGTGGGGGCGCTGTACTTGGCCAACAACCCGGCCGCCACCCCCAACTCCAAGCATATAGATCCAGCCACCACTTTATTCGGGAACGGGAAGCACGGAAGCAGATCAGGGTACTGTAGAGCATGTGGCGTAGCCTTTCCAGCATGCTGATTTTTATACCAAGCCGACAGCGTTTGGTTTCTCCGCGGTATTTCGATGAACGTTATTTATCTTTTGTTTCTTGGTGTTCGTTCGCCACGGCGCTTTTATGTTTGTTTTTGCTTTTATGCTTGCTTTCGCTTTGTTTTTCATGGTCAGTTTGCCACTGCTGAGGTTATGTCATCAAAACATCGTGGGGGGGGATGAAGCGACTGATTTGTGTTGTCCTTTCTCGTTTAGCAGGTTCGGCGTATCTGTATTTCTTGGGGAGGTTGCAACAGCGTGTGATACTAACTCGCGATGTAGGGCAAGTGAGGCGCAGAATTGTAGATGGTTGCCATCACCGGTCTCTGCTACCGTGACGGCGTGTTGTGGGTGTGTTCTGGCAAGAGCTGCTTGTGTTATCAAATTCCTGAAGGCGTTGTGTTGAGATGGAAAAGCGGGAGGCCAGCTCGCATATTATATGTATGTCATCCTTGAATAACGATCACAACACGGATGGATGCTGCTTGGCAGGTGCACGCTCTATCGTTTATGGTTCTCGGAATCTTTATTAGAGGAAGGACGGAGACATGTTGAACACAGTTGGTATGGGGCTCCTGTGCTTTCTGAATTGCTATTCTGGCTTGGTTGATTAGTTAGCATTTACGGTTTTGTCTGAGGACTATTTTTCTGGGTACTTGAAGCAACTTCCCGCAGCTGTTCGTTATTCGCTCTAACACAGCTCTGATGTAGTGTCGATTTATCTTGGGAGTTTTTCTATGATGATTCCTTTGTAGTTTTGGTTGCGAGAATACTTCAATGTATTTCTTTTCAAGGAGTTTGTTTCGGTGTTTTTCGAACGCTGAACATTGTAATTGTTGCTGACTTGGCTTCCGTACGGAAAGTGTCCCTAATGCACATGGGGGCATTTGCTGTCTACTTTGCATACAAAAAACCAAGTCAGCCTTTGTTCCTCGGGACTGCTGTACAGCCTCGCCCGATGAGCAGAGGCGATGTTTTCTGAACCTATGGCTAACCTGTTACAAACTGCGCACGGCCATTTGTTAAGGCGAGCTTCAACAAAACCACCAGAGCGGCCACCTGTAGCACAAGCTCGGCGCCTATTGTATGCCCTGTGTACGAAAACTATACCGGCTACACAATGTTTTTGCGACTCTGCAGCATCAGGGTGTTAGAGTTGAACGGTCTGCTATACTGTACACGATCGTCCCCACGCTATCGGCTTCAGGAGTTGTTGTCAGCGAGCAACCACAATGGAGGTTTACCCATGGGCCAGCGCAATGATATAGTTTCAAACCAGCCCGAGTTGCTTTGGAAAGACTCGCATGGTCGAGACGGTGGTTGCTGTCCACTGATACTGGGCTTAAGTTACTGGCGTCACCGCCAAGGAGAGGGGCAAAGACGAGAAACCGGAAGGAGCGCGACAAGAATTGGCTATCGAAGTCGGCCGTTACTGACATACATGAGCGACAAGCAGTAGTTCATGTAGCGCGATTCCTATATCAGACATACCACGCCCACATTCCTTTGCGGATCGCGATACCGGTTTGATTCTCGGCGGGTGTCGGATTTTGCGGCTCATCTCATATGTCTCACTGGAAGGATGAAACCCTCAAGTGTACACGCATGCACACAGCATGTGGTCTCGGCTCTATTGCACTAAAAACTGCACGCGTCTGCTAGGTACCATTTTTATACAGCATATTGCAGACCTACCCGCTCATGCCATCCTACTGCTGTCGTAACGTGGGTACTACTCCTACTATTGTCAATGTTGCCAACAGCGGATATTAGAACATACCTCTACTGCTTGGTTTCTGACAGCGAAAATGCAGGGTGTATGCAGGTTATGCTACCTGTACTACCGCGTTGTTGCATAGGCCACACAAAACTCACCCGTATGCATACGTATCCCCGACAGAGACGTCCCATCGGAGCTCCTGCGCGGGCCAGCCGAAAAGTCGACGCTAACGTGTTGCGCTGAGGATGGGGCTCACAGGCCTCTACTACCGCTAGCTATCGTAGCAACACAAATGAGAGAGACGAGATAGAGAAGACATCAGACAGGTATATCCCCATTACCACGACGATCCACACCGTCAAACAGAGCTCTTTGTTGTGCACACACGCACCCGCGCGTAGGCAGCTTACTAACCTTTCTCAGCCTTCCATGTCGGCTTGCCTTCCTCCTGCAGCTTCAGCAGAGACAGAGGATGCACAAAACTTTCACCACTCGCAAACGGCCACACACACGACAAATCACAACGGTCATTTTTCCAGGTACACTGCGCACGTGCGCACGTCTCTTGAACGGACACCCGCCAGTCCCACGTGTGTCACGGTTCCCTCCCTCTTCTGTCTTGTCACAACGCAGTGTCCTCCTTTGAGCACTTTCCTGTCGTTGTGTTTTGTTCCCCAACCTCTTCATTGTTGCATATTTGTTCGTCTTCGTTCACGCATGAAATACACATTGCATTCTTTGCCCTTCTCCACAAAGAAGAACCATTTTGAGAGGGTAAAATCGGGTCTGCAAACGAATTCAAATTCGGCACGAAAATGGATGTAGGCGTCTGTCCCGGTAACATGTTGAAATTTGCATACAGCCGATCATTGTCTTTCTTCCAACCGTGAATACGCGAGAACACCGGGAAAGAAAACTTTCGAGAGATGCCAGAGAAAACTCGAGCCGATCCGACGCCGCCCGCGCCGACGCCGGCGCCAGTCGGAGCTCCAGCGCCAGCCGCGTCACCAGCGCCGGTTTCGGCGATGCCCAGCGCGGGGGCGGCGGACCAGCGCTCCCGTCATTACTCAATACTGGTACGAAAGTTTGGGTGACTCCACAAGGCTCCAGCCGCGCGACACCGCGGCGGGCTGATTGGGCGCGGCGCCCGCGTGGGCCATGTCGTGGTCTTGGCAAACTTCCACGGAGTGCTCCCCGAGGTGGGCGACTACGTGCTGCTGTACGCTGCCAACCCAAGAGGTGCAGCCTGACCCCCAGCTGCGCCAGCAGCAGCAACCCCTAACAGCAGCAGGAGGAGCGGGATCAGGAGTCCCGCAGACTGTAGATAGTTCGCAGTCCGCAGCTAGCCAGCCGGTCCGCAGCGGAGATTCGGGTGCAGGCGCAGTGAAGGTTTGCCGCGATGAGGAGTTCGTCGAGCCCCTGGACACCTCACCCGCTAACGCGGAGGTGCGTCTTGTGTGCTTTGCTCTGCTGCTGTAACTTCTGCCGTGTGCTGCGTGACTTAGGGGCTATATGCTGCCCTTGTTTGATTTGTTTGTTCTTGTTTTGTTAAAACTCCAGCGATGACGTGGTTTTGTGGTCTGCGGGCATCTGGTTGAGGTGCCTGTCCTTCCGCGCTGCCTCTGGTGGTTTGCTCTCACGAGGTTTGCGGAACAGCACGCACTCGGGATATACATAGTTTATGCATGGCCTGGATTCACGTCGCCGCGCATCGCCGCACGCCTATCGGATTGCATCTATCTATGTAACCCGCGGCCGTGGGTTGCCTGCCATACATCTTTCGAAGTTTTGAAATTTGTTTCTCCATGTGGTCGCATCTCATTTCCGAGGGTAAACTAGTCAGTGCAAAACAAAGAACAAATAACTGACCCCCGAACAGGCGCATTTGCCTTGTCGCTGGTCACTGTTTTAAGCGACTTGGTGAACGCTTTTCTGGGCTGCTGTTGTGCTTCACTCTCACGAGGGTCGGTGCACAGCATGCACTCGGGATATTCTATGGCGTCGATCCATGTACTCCACGCGCTACCGTAGGTCGCAACTTCTATCTGCCTTCCGCCGCTGGCGACATGCCACACTATTTCCCGAGGAGGCACCCAATACGTATTCCGCACAAGCACATCCCGTCTTGTTTCCACGTAATTGCACGTTCGTGGTCTGCCTCACCGATACTTCGGTCACAATAATTTTCCGGCGACCGGCAGACAGATTCCGGCCCGCGCCAGGTTCATCGCTTATTTGAAAACCGAACGGGGAGCGGCTGCCCCCTCACAACAAAGAAAGGCTGGTGTTTACTGCACCACATTAGATATAGGTCCAATATCGTAGGCATCCTTCGCGTTCGCTACCGCTATGCCTACCCGCGGCGATATCTAGACTTTGTTTTGGGCGCACTACTTACGGTAGGTTCCGACCATTTCTATATCACGGTCCGACCACGCTATGTTCCGACCATGGGGTGGTGGTTGGTTCTTACTGAGCCCGTTCTACGTATGTAGACTATGCGCATCTTCGGGCGTTGTTCTGTTTGTTTGTTCTGTTTGTTTGTTTGTTTGTTTGTTTTCGCCTTGCCGGTTCCATCCTCGACAACAGCCACAAGTCGCTATCCTCAACAGCCACAAGTCGCTATCCTCCGCCTCCCGGGTTGCTATAAAGTACACCCCTCTTGCAACCTGCTGTCGAGGCGCAATTGCAGTCGCTATACCTTTGGTTACTGTGCCCAGTCCGATACGACGGGTGCAAGTCAGAAGTTGCGATCCTTTGCTTCCCGAATTGTTAACGCCCCGCGTACAACTCCCCACCGAGGCGGACTTCGCAGCTGCTAGATATACGCCGCTGGTAGCGTCGTTAGGGCAAGTCAGAAAATACATGCTATGTGTTTTTCTGGTACAACTTCTTACAACCCCCATCGGTGCAGAAGTCGAGACGCTATACTCTACCTGCTCTGACGGATGCAAGCTAGCAGCTGCTGCACTCCGCGTGCAGTGTTGCTGTACTCGCCGTTTACAATCCCATCGGTGCAGAGATCCGTTTACACCCCCCCCCCCCCCCCCCCCCCCGATGCGGGGGAAGGAATCCAGTTGCTACACTGTTGTGACGGATGCAAGCTAAATAGCAGATGCAATACTCCGCTTGCTGTGTTGCTATCCACACCGTTTACAATCCCATCGGTGCAGAGATCGAGTTGCTATATTCTGCCTCCGGTG